GCCCTCTCCCCCCCGCCCACCGATTCAACATCGCTGTCTGTTTAGCCCCGCCCACCGATTCTACATCACTGTCTGTTTAGATTTTCAGGAAGACTGAAACTAAAAGACGATGCTGTGCGACTGTATTGGATCCGACAGTAATGTCGAAACACAAGTGTGAGAAACAATCACAGCAGTGGCGTTCACTTCCGAGTCTACAATCCTCCAGAGCGCTCTGATGAGGGGTTAAAGACAGAACAGAACATAGACTACTACTTCTAAATCATGATGTTATGTTATGCATGCACTTAATTTCCAGCGATATCGTGGACTTGATTGCACAGATACTATTTAAACTGAACTGAGCTGGATGATGATATCACTGAGTCAATGATGAACAGCCTTTAACTGAAGATTGAGCGTTTACTGTTGTCCTTCTGCATTATTACACACACTATTTTCCTGTTTAATACTGTAAAGCTGCTTTGACACAATCTGTATTGTTAAAAGCGCTAGATAAATAAAGGTGACTTGACTTGTGTTTTGATGTAAATACCTTGATAACATTATGAGTGGATCTTCAGACAACAGCACAAAATAAAAAACAGAGGCCGTTCATGACCTCTTTCAAACTAAATATATTTTCATTTAACAATATATTTCAATATATTTTATTGTTTAGCACATATTTAGCATCTCTTTTGCCTCCCGCAGAAGAAGGAAAGTCGCAGGGGTTTGCAGGATGCTGAATGAGTGTCTCTCGATCATGTGTTCATCTCACCTGCAGCACAGCCAGATCTCTCGACAGCACCACGATCATGTTCAGCAGCAGCTTCTTCATCTCAAAGTCCTCCTGGCTGAAGGACAGCTTGAGGTTTCTCACCAGAGGATTGTGGCTCTTCACTGAGAAACACAGATGTGTGAGGAACGTTCTCGCCGCTGTCATGAACGCTGGTTAAATCAGCAGTACTTACGCTCGGGAAACGTGAGGAACGGCGTGAGATGCTTGAGGAAGCCGCTCTCCTGAAACACACAGATGCAGGCTGAGAGCTGCAGAGGAAGAGTTATGAGGAGGAGGAGGAGGAGGAGGATGAAGACTCACGATCAGAGGAGCGCCGGGCTTCTCCGCGATCAGAGACAGCAGCACCAGCAGGTCGTTCCTCAGCTGACGCTCGTGATGACGGAAACCCTTCAGGAGCAGATGGAGAAACACGTCCTTCAGAGATCTGCAGCACAGAGAGAATCATGGGAAGGTTTAGAGCACGCTCATCTTCAGCTCACGTCTGACACATTCCTCCCGTTACTGTCATGCAGAGAACCAATGCTTTTCATTTCCGCTGGTAATAAATCATTGCATTGTGGCAGCTGTCAACAATCTTTTTCTATTTAGTATTTTTCCTGTTCTTCAGATTGAGGGAGTGTTGTGGTTTATACGTTAGCTCCGTGCTTTATATGAAGGGTTTTGTTTGAGCAGGATTGTAGTGTAGGGAGTGTTTTATTATTTATAAATGCAAGTTGCTGATGTTTTTATTTAGTAAATCTTGTATTTTCACTGCTGTGTGCAGAATATACTGCTGTTTTTAATTACTCTTCTGGGCCCAGTAATACAACGGGTAATACAGTGGGTATCTTTCTTTTTTGTTGACTTAATATTGTTTGTAGTTTGTAAGTGCTATAGTTTAGAATATTTTTTGGAAACTAGTTCAAATAAAATTGTAGTATATGTGCACGAATTGAAAAGCTACTATATGGAAGGTGAATAAGCATAAGCATTAGTTATGCACAGTATTATTAGTCATTAATCTCCTGTGTGTTCAGTGCATATTCACTATGTTCATGAACATGTATCATGTATGTACTGATCATCTCTCCGTGTGATCTGAAGCGTGTTTGACTCACGCGATGCAGTCGCTGCTGCTGAGCTGTGAGGTCACTTCCTGTCGGGAGCCATTCTCCAGCAGGTTCCACAGGATCTCGGAGGATCTGAAGAGCAGCTCTCCGGACGGATCTCCTTCGCTCATGTGGAAGCAGATCTTCTGTGCGCCCTGAGCTCTCAGCATCAGGTTACAGTTGACCTCTGTCAGGAAACACACGGCAGGTTCAGACGGAGCTGTGATGCACTGAGAGCGAGCGGAGGCTCTGATGCTCACCTGATGCTCTGGACAGGATCTGCAGCGTCTGCAGGAGACACAGTTTGACCGGAAGCTGCTCCTCCATCAGAGCCAGAGACATCACCAGTGTCTCAGAA